AGGCGGATGGCGTGGGCTGAGCCGGGGAGTCTGTACATGAAATGTCACAGATAGTGCAAGATATTTGTAGTATCCTCACCGCATTACGATAGGTTTATGAAATTATCTCGCCGAAGGCCGTCCAGAAGCGCTGAACACTGTTTCAGTGGTGGAACAATCAATTTCTGTTGCAGAAGGCCCGGATATCCAACAGAACCACGGTGGGTTGCTATGTCTAGTCCTCAGGATCCTGTGTAGTGCATAAGGTCTTCAACTGGCGGTGAATATAAACGACAATGTCGTTGGCAGGGGGTGGTAGACTGTCGTCTAAAAATAATAATAAGAGGAGAAACTGGAACAAGTGGCATTTGAACTGGATATCGCGGACAGTCATTATGGGGAGGGGTACTAAAATGGCATCTCAAAAACTAATGAAGTCCATTACCACCGATGAAGGCTAGAGGTTACGTAGAAGGACAGCTTCTACTCATTAGAAGAAACCATCCACAGATGTGAGGAAATAGGAACAAACGCTTGACAAAGGCAGGGGGCCTACAGTATGTAGATGGATGTGGCTGTTCCTTGCACCAGGGCCGAAAAAGGTGCAGCTGTGTTTTGTTGTGCTACTGGACCTTGCTCCGCTGGCAGCCAAGACATGCCTGTGTGCAAAATTTCAGATACTCGTATCTCTCAGGTCAGACGAAGTGGTTAGAAACTAGCTTGTTTAAAACTTGACCGCTGTGGTGAGATATATTGTGCAGGCAGGGAAATACTCTGCAGCAAAGAGACGGTAACACAAAGGGGCAGTGGGGTGGTTGAAATGGTACAGGGTATGATTCCGTTGACAGTATTCACTGGGAGATCTTGGAGTTGGAATCGGTAGCATATACGTAGCAGAGAAAACCGATATGACATTTTTCAGCAGCAATTTCAGCTAGAACGATCCTAGATATCAATTGTAGGTGGGGCATAGAGGGCCTGGACAGTGATTCTACTATCTCAATCAGCGACTTTTCAGTATGGCGGATATCTGAAGCAGATTGCGAAATTTAGTCCACTTGGCGGATCCATCAGCGGGTTAGCTGTGTGAATTGAAATTGAGCAGGGACAAATGTGAGGGTGGTGAAATCCCTGTCCAAGAGGAATTGCCTGTAGTGATTTACAGCAAGGTAGGAGAAGATAAGCTCCCAGTAAAATGCACCATAGTGCGAGTTGGCAGGTGGTAAGGCCTTTACCGGAGCATAAAATTGAGGATGACCAACTTATTCATCACTGGTTCTCCGACAGTCTTGTA